GTTACTAATATGTTCATTAGGATTGGACACAAATGCTATTAGATTGCAAAGAAATGAACTCTGAAGAGTGTAATCTAGTTATTACTGTTAGGAAAACTAAAGAATAAGTAAAACATGTTATTGTCAAACGCTTGGGATGCAGTATGATACCAAATGCTTGCAGGAAGATAGCTGATTGCAATAGGAATGGGTAACAACTTCACAATTAGTGCATAGGAAATAAACTTGGAGCATTGGGTGACTAGAAAATTCAATTCAAAATATCAACATTAAAAAATAAATAGGTAAGAGCAGTTTAAAAATGCTTATGAGAGATACAAAGTACCAGAAGCTTGTAGATTAATTTCTTTCCTTCTGGTCAGTCACTTAGGAAAAAAGTGTTCATCCATCATGCTCAGTTGTGTCCAACACTGCGACCCCAGGGACTGTAGCCTACCAGGCTCCTCTATCCATGAGATTCTCCAAACAAGAACACTGGAGGGTGTTGTCATTTCCTACTCCAGGGAAACTTTCAGACCCAGGGATTAAATTCACATCTCCTGCATCTCTTCCAAGGGCAGGTGGATGCTTTACCACTGAGCCACTAGGGGCGCACTGAATCCTTACATTCATGCTTTTCTTATTTAAAAAATTCTACTTTTGGGGACTTCCCTGGTGGTCCAGTGGCTAAGATTCCATGCTCCCAGTGCAGGGGACCAGGGTTCAATCCCTGGTCAGGGAAGTAGGTCCCACATACCACAGCTAAGACTCGAGGCAGTCAAATGATAGATATTAAAAAAAAATTCTACTTTCAGCACCTATTTTTTACTAGTGAGAATCTCATTTTAACTTTTCTTAAAATTCAACATTTTTACATTGTAGATTTTATACCAAAACTTCCTTCTCTGCACCTTTAAAAATTATAACTTGGAATAGCTGTTAAATTAATTGTTAGTGTAGCTTTTTATATTACTTCAGTAAAGGTAGAAAAACAATAATGGATTGTTTTGGTATTATATGAGTTCATTGCCCTATCTAGTTGATTCCATCTCTTTTTTCCTCCTCTTAGTATCTTAAATTATACTGTATTTCATATTCAGTTTTTTTTTTCATTTGTAGGACAAACTAATTGCTAATGTGAGGAAGAAATGTGTAGGATCCAGAGCCAGACCCATCCCCAACTCAGCCACTAACTGGAAGGTTATGAAGAAGAACAAGATTAGAAGTTGCTTGAATGTGTAGGGAGCATTTGGGTCCTAGAGTAATTGAGAACAATCACAACAAAAAAGCAGTTTTGTATACCTCTCAGATATCTTCATCATAGTAGAATACGGACATTCATAGACTTTAACAGGAAAGAAAAGAAGAAAACTTTAAAGGTTTCTGTTGATAGAGGGTAAAAGAAAAACTAAGAACATGTGGTAGTGTTACCAAACTTAAATTTGGCTGCTCATGGCTCAAGAATCTAATACTGAGAGACCAATATTGGGTAAAAGGAAAGAGCATTATTGAGGAAGTTGGCAATCCCAAGGAGAAGGTTGACTCATGGACCAAAGAACTGAGTCCCTACTCCCCATGGTTTGCTTGGAGGTTATACAGGGGAAAGAGAAAAAGAGCTACATGCTCGTGAGAAGGTTTCAGGGTATATGCTCAGTTCATGGACATCCTTTTGTTTGGCTGGTGATGAGATAACCAGGAGTCAACATCATCAACTTCTGGTTCCAAATGGTCTGTGGGTCTACATGCTTGTGGGCAGCATGTTTGTGAGCAAACTTGTCTGATGGGGGTTTTAGTATATACAAAATAGTTCAAAAGATATGGTGCAGAATGTTTTATATAGCCCTTAAGAAAAACTGTCTTTGACTTTGTTTAATAGCTAAACTATCATTATTTTGTCTTGTTTGACAGTTTTCCTTTGTTTCTGCATTTTCTCATTTCTCTGATTAAATTTATTATTTGGCTTAAGTTTTTTTACAGACAAGAGGCAAGTGGAGGACATGAGTGGGGAGGGTCTGTCCCAGAGAGGCCCCATAAGGCCTTGTGCAGTTACAGTAGCAAGATGAAAATACTTTTTTAAAAGATGAGTAAGAAAGACTAAAAAGTGTCCTTTTGGCTTAGCAACAAATAACTCTTCAGTTATCTTGGAATGACAATTTCAATGTAATACGGTAAATTAGGGGTGAAATGGAATGATGGAAACCACAGGTGAGGAAAGAGAAATTTTTTCCCTGAACATTTGTTCATTCAACAAATATTCAGCACCTACAATGTGCCAGACATTGGTCACAACTGTCACATTGGTCACAATAGCAAACAATCCTCCTTGCCCATAGTAAGCTTAGACTGTGGAAGAAGGTGTTTAAATGCCAATTGCAAATGTAAAAAATAAATAAAATAAAATGAGCAGAAACCTCAATTAAATAGAGTTGGATTGGATACAGTTAGAATTACCATTGGATACAATGACATATTATTCTCCACAGTCAAAGGGAACTTTCAAAACAGTCCTTGTGTTCTAAACTTTTCCAACATATACCTGATTTATATAACTTTGTTGCCGAGTAAATTGTCTTGGGATTTATGGAGATGAACTATTATGTTTGTATTAGGATTTGCTGGGAGTGATAGGTGGACATATCTATATATCAATAAGGACTAACCATCTCTCTCTTTTTTGTATATAGGAAATTGACAACTATACTGTTTGAAACCCACAGTGTTTTACTCCACTTTCAAAAAGATTAACTTGGCACTTTCCCCCGTTTTTTTTTTTTTTAATTGAAACTAAGATTTTTTTCTCATTTTAGGGCAAAAGACAATTTGAAGGATTAAACTAAAAAGATAGTTTAGATGGTGTATATTTTTAAAACTAAGAACATGTATACAGGTTCTGTGTTGCCAAGTTTATATGTGACAGTTGAAAAAAAAAAAATTCCCCTGTAATGATCATGGTGTTAAAATTTGGGGCTTTAGTAAACTTGGAGAACCAGTAGTCATAAGGTCAGTGGATAGTTTCACTCCCAAAGAAATGAATTGCTCCCGTGTATTTCCCTGTAGGACCCAATAGTAAACCCTGTCTCAGTGCTGTATATCTATAAGGACCCTATAAGATGACCACCAAGGCTTTGGGTCTATGCTAAACAGGAAGCTCATGAAAATATCTTGTATAAATTTGTTTCTTTTTCTTTCCAATAAGCTCACATTTGGATAAGTTTAAAAAGATAGTAATTACCTTTATGTTTCCATAACACTATAATTTGGGTGATTGTTAATTCAGTTAGATACTGGGAAAAAAAATAGAGTTGGGAGACTAGAAAACTGAAGTCTCATACCCTGCTGACCTCAACAGGAAGAAGACAGACTTCCCTTTCCTGGCAAAGATATTTGATACAAATGAACTTACAAAACAGAGACTCGCAGATTTAAAGAATGAACTTGTGGTTGCAGGGAGGAGGATGGAGGGAAGGAATAGATAGAGAGTTTAGGATGAAGTACATACTGCTATATTTCAAATAGATAACCAACAAGCACCTATTATATAGCACATGGAACTCTGCTCAGTGTTATGTGCAGCCTGGATAGGAAAGGAGTTTGGGAGTGAACAGATACGTATATATGTATGGCTGGGTCCCTTCACTGTCTACCTGAAACTAATCACAACATTGTTTATTAATTGACTATACTCCAATATAAAATGTTAAAAAAAGACTCAACGAAAAGCCATGAACTCTTTGCTATTAAAACCCTCCTAGCTCCCTTTCTCTCTCTATACCAGCTTTCTTCTTCCCTTTCCAGTCCTTTTCTTGCATGTTTCCCTGTGGTTGCAAACCTTGGGTTGCTCCATTCTACTGATCCCAAATAAACACATCCTTGTTGGAGAATTATCTGGTAGTCTTACTTGTTTCAGATCAACACAGAGAATAAGAAGGAAAAGTTGAAAATAGGTTGAGAAAAGATGTGTAATTGACCCCTTGGATAGTTTTCCTCAAATAACCAGCTGCAGAGCTGAAATTGTTATCACAACTGGTGGTATATGAATACAGGGATGGGAGAGAAAGGGAAAATGGACTAACACATGTGCTTCCTGCTCAAAAAATTTTTTTCTTCAAATATGTTAGCTACTTCTTCCTGCAAATATATACGTACAGCAGATGTTTCAGTCCAAATAGCCTTGGAAATATTTATGTGAATCTTTATTTCATTCTAGTTTTGCACTGGGGTGGTTTCACGTAAATGACTGGAGGGAGAAACAAAAAATAAGCAGAAGATTCACATTTAACAGCATCTCATTAACTACGGTGGCTCAGTGGTAAAGAACCCAAATGCCAATGCAGGAGAGGCAGGTTTGATCCCCGGGAGGGGAAGATTCCCCTGGAGAAGGAAAGCGGCAACCCACTCTAATATTCTTTCCTGGGAAATCCTACAGACAGAGAAGCCTGGCCAGTTGCACATGGGGTCACCACAAAAGAGTCTGACAAGACTTAGCAACTAAACAGCTCATTAACTATAGCATCAAATCACAGTCCTATAAATCATTGAAGTGGTTAATCAAATCTGAAAAGCAGCATTCCTCATTGCTAGATTTATTTCACCATAAAAGCTGCGTTAGAGCTCTTGCCTTTAGGGGGAGACAACTGGGAACTAAAATAAGGGCCCTGTCCCCAGGAGCTTCCAACCTACCAAACCCGCCCAGGTTTGCGAAACGCTCTTCATTGGTTACAGGATTTAGGAAACGTGTAGCACCTCCTCTCCTCCCTCTGCCTCCCGCCAGAGAGACTGCTCGAAATCGGAGGGAGCCGCCCTAAGTGAATCGGCGGGAATTCAGGGCGCCGGGGTAGTACAGCCGCCACCCACCCCGCCACGCGCTGGATCCTCTTAAGTATTCCGGGAAACTTCCAGCGCATTTTAGGCCTAGACACCATCTCGTAATTCATCCTCTAAAGGCCCGAGAACGAGCAGCTGATATGCCCTACTGGTCGTGTACGCATGCGTGGGACTGGGTTGCTGGCGTGCGTGTGACGTCACGAGCGCGCCCGTCCGAACTCTTCCTAGTTTCTCTTAAGAGAGTGGGTCAGTCAATTTCCAAGTAAGTTTGGAGATCTTGACGTGGTTGCGAGGTGAGTTGGGACCTGAACCGATATAATGAAGAGCCTGGTTTAGTTTAGGTCAACATTTGGAGGAATTATTGCAGGAAAACTCTTCATACTTGTCTTTCTCGTGAGCTTAACTTGTGTTGAGCATCTTAGCATTGCATTATGTAAGCAGCTGACTTCAGTTAGTCCAGATCTCCGCCCTCAAGACGGTCTTCTGGCTTGGAGAAGCTTGGTGCGCACACACTAAAACTAAATATAGATATTAGTGCGTGTCCCAGACAATAAGTTTGGGGAAAAAAAGAACCTGAAAATACGCAAGTTAACAGCAGTTCAGTAGTTTCTTTAGACTGCGTAGGGGCTGGAGGGAGGAGGCAACAGATATATTTTGGAGTCATAAACTTTTGGGGCACAGTTTGTCTACATAATGTTACAACTGCCAAAGGGATTTAAAAACGAGCGCAAAACATTACAGCCTCCTTTCCCTTCCTCAATAGTTTGTACACTTTAAAGCACAGTAGTAAAGGCAGTTGTTAGGGCCCTTTTCACAGATCCTAAAACTAAATTGTACAAGTAGTTCTTAAAATACAAGACTAATAGAAAATGGTTAAGTTTGAATGCCTTAGGAGGATGTGTGTATTGATCCTCGTAATAAAATTACGAAATAATTCACCCGTCCTTCTTCTCCCCCAACAAGGGATGACTAACTAGAAAGGAAAAGCAAAAGTCAGTCAAAGACACTTAAAGCAAATTATTTATTACCTTTTGGATAAAATACTGTTTTTTTTGTTTTCAGCAGTAAGTTATCAATTTCTCTAACTGAATTTGCTTTCCATCACACTATGAAGCAGATCTGATATGCCACTTGAATTAATAAAAGAAGTCAACGGAGTGCCTGAAGTTGATCTGCTAAATAAATTACACAAAGTCGATATCAGATCCCTACAGCCAGGTTGTGATTATGACAAGAAATATATCCAGGTAAGAACTGATGCAACTCAGAATAGTTATCGTTTGTTTTCAGAAGTTGGATTGTTGAGTCCCTTGGTGTGTTCTTTATTTGAGCTTATCCTGATGGGAGTAACTGAACTTCTTGGATGCACAGGTCAATAGTTTTTATCAAATTAGGGAAATTATTGACTAATGTTTCTTGGAATTTTTTTTCTTGCTTATTATTACTCTTTTCTTTTTCTGGATGTCACTTACATGTATGTTTGCATGTTGGGTTCTTTGATATTGTCCTTCTGGTCTGTCAGGTACTGTTTGTCTTTTTTCAGTACTGTTTTTGTTGTGTGTTTTGGCTGAGGATTTTCAGACTGTGGAATTTCTATTGATTTTGTCTTTAAGTTCCTGAACTTTTTGGGGGGTTATATCCAATATTTGTTACATGTATTTAGTGAATTTTTAAATTTTAGTTATTGTATATTTAATTTTGGGTCAAAGTTAAGAGTGATGGAAAGCAGGTAAATGGCTTACTGACAAAATGTGTCATATAGTAAAAGAGAAATGATGTAACTTTTCAGTTTTACCCCATAATCAATATTCTCCATGTAGACATTTATCTTTCATTTTTTTTGTTTTCCATTTTCCTGATATTTCCTGTCATATGAAGTAAAGTTCTATGTATTACAGCTGGTCTTCTCTACTTCATTGTATTTAAATTCCTAATCAAATGTTTTTTAGTATTTGCAAACTCACCTCACATTTGGTTGATTAGGATGATGCTTCTTGCATACATGTGTTTATTAATAAAATGCTTTGATTAATTTTCTTTCTGATGAATCATTAATCTTAATTATTACTATGCTGTACCTAACTTCATCATTCTTCTCTTATTTTGTGTGTTTGATATAGAAGAATTTAAGTGAAATATTTAAAAAATTCTAGCATTTTTATTAGTGTTATTAAGATAAACCCTTTTAGATATAAATGAAATGTCAGTTTGAATTCTTACATTCCTTTTTCTAACCTGCACATGTCTGCAGGTATCTCAAGAAACATTTACGTTTCTTGAATTTTATTAAATACATTTTACTATGAAATTCACTGTATTTTAGTATATATAGGTCTGTGAGTTTTGACAGATGTATAAAAACATGTAACTGCAACCATAATCAAGCTGCAAAACAGGCTTTCACTCCCCCAAAATTTTATAGTCAGCTGCTACCTTAATTTCAATCCATGGCAACCACTTTTGACCAGTTTTCTCAGGTTATACAGTATTTTTTGCCTTTCAAGAATGCCATGTAAGTTGAATCATACAGTATGTAGAGTTGGACACGACTGAGTAGAGTTGGACATGACTGAGCAGCTGAACTGAACTGTTTGTAGCTTTTTTCTTTTTAATTATAGTTGATGTACAATATTATATGTTACATGTATCAGTGTGTAGCCTTTTGATTGTGTCTTCTTTTCACTCCTCGCAATTCTTCAGGTTGTTATGTTTATCAATAGTATTACATTTTATTGATTGCTGGAATTGCACCACAGTTTGTTTATAACATTCCTCAGTGTAGCAGTACTTGGATTCTTTCCAGTATTTTGTAATGATGAATAAAGAAGCCTTAAAATTTTATTCTAATTTTTACTTTTGTTATTGCAGTCTCTTGAATTTATGTGTAACTATTTTTTTTTCTCACTTCAGGGAAAACTCTCACTTATCTCTTCTTTAATCTGTGGTGAAAACAGAAGAGCTATTTTAAAGATTGGACTTCAAGGTAAATGACAAGACCATTTCTACTTAACTTTTTGCTTATAATCTAGAAATGGGTAACTTTATGTATACATACACATATAACCACAAAAATCATTTTTAGTATGAAACTCTGTAGAGTGAAAAGTTATTCTTTACTCCAGCATCAAATATATGGAATGAAAAGTTACTCTTTTCCTCTCTAAATCTTTTCTTCAAAGTCTGTCCACTCCTCACTCCCCCATGGCTTCCATTTCACTTCAGATTCCTTTAATGTCCTATCCAGATATTACAATGGCTAACTTATCTCCCTATTTCTAGTTTCATTAATGTGACCCAAACAGCAAATTGTAAGATAATGCTATTTTCAGCATGTTATTTCTTTCCTAGGTGTTACGTAAGCTAATTCTTCTCCCTAGTAACCCTTAAATAATCTTGGTAAGAGTTTAGAATACTTGGAGACCAAAGTAAATCTCATCTGAAGTCTGAAATTAGTTAAATGAATGAAGAATGGTCTACAGCAGGAAATGGGAAATAAACTTTGAAGTATATTTCCAAAACTATTGGAAACCATATACATAACAGACACTGTTCTAGGTACAGGGAATGTAGCTATGACCAAAACAAGGTCTTGCATTCATGGAGTTTACATTGTAGGGGAATAAGTAAATTCAGCAAATAATTGTACAAAGTAATAATTGACAGAAATTTGGTTTGAAGAAAAATAGAGCAGGGTGTGGTGGTGTGCCTGATGTATTATCCTTTTATATATTCCTAGGTTTGATTTGCTAATGTTTTGTTAAGATTTTTTGCATTTAAATTTATTAAAAATATGGTAGGAATGTATCTTTTCCTATAGTGATTTTGATTGATTTTGATGTTGGGGTAATGCTGTCCTTAGTAAAGAGTTGTTTATGGCCCCTCCTTTCCTATTTTCTGGAAGACTTTACCTGGAATTGTTTACTTCTTCCTTAAATGTTTATAGAATTCACTGGTGAAACCACTTGTACCTAGAGAGTTTTTCTTTCAGTTCAGTTCAGTCGTGTCCGACTCTTTGCGACCCCATGAATTGTAGCACGCCAGGCCTCCCTGTCCATCACCACTCCTGGAGTCTACCCAAACCCATGTCCATCGAGTTAGTGATGCCATCCAGCCATCTCATCCTCTGTCGTCCCCTTCACCTCCCGCCCCCAATCCTTCCCAGCATCAGGGTCTTTTCCAATGAGTCAACTCTTCGCATGAGGTGGCCATTAGAGTTTCAGCTTCAACATCAGTCCTTCCAGTGAACAGCCAGGACTGATCTTCTTAGGAAGATTTAATTCTAAGTTCAGTCCCTGTATTTGACATAGGGCTATTGAAATTATCTCTTTCTTGGATAAGCATTGATAGATTCTGTTTCTAAAGGAATTTATCCAGGTCATCTTGGTTGTCAAAATGTTGGTGTAAAGTCATTCATAAAATACTTTTTATATGCTTTTATTGTATGTAGGATCTGTAGTGATGTCTTATTTCATTGATTTGATAATTCATGACTTCTGTCTATCTCTCTTACTTTTTTCCTGATCATTCTGGCTGGAGATTATTTTATTGATTTTTAAAATCAGCTTTTAAGTGAACGCTGGACATTCAGAATTTTATATTATCAAGTATTGGATTTATTTGTAATTCTTTAAATATTGTTTGTCTTAATTTTGGAACACTATAAATTCTCTTGGAATCAATTTGATTAACTTTGTTAGGATGGGTCTAGAGCAGCGTTTATGTGGGGACTAATTTGTCCTGATAACTAAGGAAGTGCCCTTCTGACAAGTTTACCATGTGCTTTGTGTATGAGGATTCCACTCCGGAGCCAGAACAGTTCACAGCACTGTGTGAGTCTCAGAATTATTCTGCCTCTTTCTTTCAAGTGGTTCTGATTGCTTTTTGGGATTCTTTCTTCCCGTGCTTTTGGAGATCAGTACTCAGCCAAAGACCCAAAGGCACTCATCTCCAGAGCACTTGTCTATGCTGCTGTCTTCCTTTCAGCAACATGTTGCACAGATTCTATCTGCTTTGCTGTCCTCAAATCTGAATTCTCCTGAATTCAGTGAGGCTGTTGGGCTTTCTTTAGATTTTACCTCCATTTTCTGTTGCCTAGAATCTCCAGGAAATAAATTAGGGCTCTGGCTTTGCTTTCCTTCTCAAAGAGAATAGTTGCCTGCAGTTCCTGTTGTCCAGTGTCTGAAAACTTGTGTTTTTATATATATATGTACACATATATACATATATATATATATGTGTGTGTGTGTATATATATATATATATATAGTCGTTGTTTTTGTCATGGCCAGAAATAGACATCTACAGGGCATTTACTATATTAAGAAGTAAGTTAAATATTGATTAGAAGCCATTGTATTTTTGAGAACATTAGTGTTTTAATTTATGTATCTACTTACTTTGAGGAATTGGATGACAGAAGTAAACAAAAGGAGATAATAGGCAGATGTGTGATAGTTTTTTCATTGCTGGTGATAAAGTAGCAGATTGAAGAGTTATAAGTTACACTGCAAGTTTTGGAAAGATGTTTAATATACTTCATAGATACATGAAAGTCTGATGTGAGGGCAGTTGGAGTAATTGTTTGAAAGCTGATATTAACGAGACCTCCCTCAGATGATACAGTAATTGAATCTTAGCATTTGGCTTTGCTTCAGTGGTTCTTGGAGGTGACCTCTGGAGAACAAAGATGATGGAGAGTCTTCCCCAAAGCCTAGAATTTCCAAATGAGATTCCTCATAGCATATCTCTTTCTTCTTTTCCAAATAGTTCTTATTGTCAAAATCACAAAAAGCTCAGTTTTTATACACACACTGCTCTTTTACTCTTCAGTGAATGGGTGCTGCAGAGAACTCACTTGTCTAGATTAAAATTTAAAATTCTAATAATTATATATTACCAGAAGTTCAGTAAAAATAAAGTATTTGCAGAGTGATGTTATACACTATAAAAATTGAATTGTTTTTATTTAGTTCTTATTCAGTATCTTATTCAGTTCTTTTGATTGTAACCATGGGAAAATAAATTGAAAGTGATCGTTATGTGATGTTAATGTGGCATTTACAGAAATTTGTAAAACATAGTTGAAACTAGTTATAATTCTGGTTGTAATGCCTAGTAGCATTCTGTACATTATTTTTGTGATTTTAAGGTGATAGAGTAAACTAAAAGTGAATTATAAGCATTTTAATTACTCTTCTTCATAATTTTATTTTGAAATAACTATGGGTTTTAGAATTTAGTTGTCAGCAATTTTTTTGTGTCCATAAAGCTGTGTCTGATGTGTTTTTCTGTGTGTTTCTCTATAGAACAAGATAATTCGAGTTCAGAGATCAGCAAGATCAATATATTATTTTTTGGAAGCTTAGCAAAGGACTGTGCCAAAGTTTTCTATGAAGGGGTAAAATCATTTTATATTACTTTATCTCTTTAGAAATAGAATTATTGATCATGCTATATGTATCCTACAAGCCATTTTTTAGAAGTTCATTATAGATTTGCAGATGTATGAAAAATTATACTTTTTAAAAAAACAACATCCTTAAAATTGAACATTCCAAAGAGATTAGTGAAACTTATCATTGACAGAAAAAGGGACAATTTTTCCTCTCACTGAAGTTTACTTTTCAGTATTCAATAGACTGTCTTAAAGGTAGGTACATTTTCTCTTACTTAAAAATAATCCTTACTAACTAAAAAATAATATGAGCTCTAAGTCTATATGAGTATGTCTATAATATTTTCTGTAATTATTATAAAATAAATGCCAGCTAAAATCCCCAACAAGATGATACCAAACCAAACCCAGCAGCATATTAAAAGGAGAGTAAACACCATGACCAAAGGGATTTATCCCAGAAATTGTGTTTGGTTCAACCTAAGAAAATCATTGTACTACATTGTATTACATTGTAACAGCATCACTGACTAGAGGGATATGAATTTGGGCAAACTCCAGGACATAGTGGGGGACAGAGAAGCCTGAGTGCTGCAGTCCATGGGATCTCAGGATTGGACACATTTAGCAACTGAACAGCAACAAAATACACCTCATTAATAATAGAACAAAGGGATAGAAAGCACTGCTACTCAGCATTGCTCTAGAACTTCTAGCCAGAGCAATTAAATAAGAAAAGAAAGACATCTAATCTGTAAAGAAGAAATAAAAATATCTCTCTTCTCAGAGTAGGAAGTCTTCTCAGAGTAGGAAGTCAAGACATACCTGGAATAATAGGCAGTTTGGCTTTGGAGTACAAAATGAAGTGGGGCAAAGGCTAATAAGAGTTTGGCCAAGAGAACGAACTGGTCATAGAAAACACCCTCTTCCAACACACGAGAGACAACTCTACACGTGGACATCACCAGATGGTTAATACTGCAATCAGATTGATTATATTCTTTGCAGCTGAAGATGGAGACGCTCTATACAATCAGCGAAAGCATGACTGGGAGCTGACTGTGGCTCAGATCATGAACTCCTTATTTGAAAATTCAGACTTAAATTGAAGAAAGTAGGCCATTCAGGTATGACCTAAATCACATCCCTTATGATTAAACAGTGACAAATAGATTCAAGGGATTAGACCTGATAGAGTGCCTGAAGAAATAGGGACAGAGGGTCTTAACATTGTACAGGAGGTGATGACCAAAACCTTTCCCAAGAAAAAGAAATTGAAAAAAGGCAAAATGGTTATCTGAGCAGGCCTTACAAATAGCTGAGAAAAGAGAAGTGAAAGGAAAAGGAGAAAAGGAAATATATACCTATCTGAATGCAGAGTTCCAAAGAATAGCCAGGGGAAATCAGAACGCCTTCTTAAGTGAACAGTGCAAAGAAATAAAGGAAGACAATAGAAACCGGAAGACTAGATCACTTTCCATTCCAATCCCAAAAAGGGGCCATGCCCGTGAATGTTCAAACTGCTGCACAACTGCACTCATTTCACGTGCTGTCAAAGTAATGTTCAAAATCCTTCAAGCTACACTTTAACAGTAAGTACATGAACAAAGAACTTTGAGATGTTCAAGCTGAATTTAGAAAAGGCTGAGGAACCAGAGATCAAATTGCCAACATGCATTGGATCATAGAAAAAGCAAGGATATTCCAGAAAAACATATGTTCATTGACTGTGCTAAAGCCTTTGATTGTGTGGATCATGACAAACTGGAAAATTCTTAAAGAGAGGAGAAAACCAGATCACTTCACCTGCCTCCTGAGAAATCTTTATGCTGGTCAAGAATCAACAGTTAGAACCAGAAGTTGAACAACAAACTGGTTCCAAATTGAGAAAGGAGTATGTCAAGGCTGTATATTGTCACTCTGCTTATTTAACTTCTATTACATCATGTGAAATGCTGGGCTGGATGAAGCACAAGCTGAAATCAAGATTACCAGGAGAAATATCGGTAACCTCAGGTATGAAGATGACACCACCCTAAAGGCAGAAAGTGAAGAGGAACTAAAGAGCATTTTGATGGAGGTGAAAGAGAGTGAAAAAGCTGGATTAAAACTAAATATTCAAAAAATGAAGACCATGACATCCAGTCCCATCATTTCATGGCAAATAGATGGGGAAACAATGGAAACAGTGACAGGCTTTATTTTCTTGGGCTTGAAAATTACTGCAGACAGAGACTGCAGCAATGAAATTTAAAAAGATGCTTGCTCCTTGGAAGAAAAGCTATGACAAACCTAGGCAGTGTATTAAAAAACAGAGACATCACTTTGCTGACAAAGGTCCATATAATCAAAGCTATGGTTTTTCAGTACGTACATTGTCATGTATGGATGTGAGAGTTGGACCATAAAGAAGGCTGAGCACTGAAGAATTGATGGTTTTAAATTGTGGTACTGTCCAACAAATAAAAATAAATGGAAGAAAAAAAAATAAAAAATTAATATGTAAAAAAAAATAATAATAATAATAAATTGTGGTACTGGAGAAGACTCTTGAGAGTCCCTTGAATAGCAAGGAGATCAAACCAATCAATCCTAAAGGAAATCAACCCTGAATATTCATTGCAAGGATTGATGCTGGAGCTTCAGTACTTCAGCTACCTGACATGAAGAGCTGACTAATTAGAAAAGACCCTGATGCTGGGAGAGATTGAGGGCAAGAGAAGAGGGTGATAGAGGATAAGATGGTTGGATGGCATCCTTGACTCAATGAACATGAGTTTGAGCAAACTCAGGGAGAAAGTGAAGGATGGGGAAACGTGTGCTGCAGTCTATGGGTTTGCAGAGTCAGAAATAACCAAGCGACTGAACAACAAGTCTTCTCAGATGACCTGATCCAATATATATAGGATCTTTAAAAATCCAAAAAAAGGAAAAAAGCTGAGAGGGCTAATATATGAATTTAGCAGTGTTGTAGGGTATAAGATAGACACAGCAAAAACAGTTGTACCATCCAATAGATCTGTTTGCTATGCTGGCAGTGTTCTAGATCTGTGTTGCCAATATGGTAACTACTTGTCTTATTTGGCCAATGAGCACTTAAAATATGGCTTGAGGAACTGAATTTTAAACTTTGTATCATTTTAATTAAATAGCCACATATGGTTAGTTTTTACTGTATTGGACAGCACATCTACAGAACTTAACCACTGTCTGGTGTATAATACAGATTTTTTTTCTTCATGTGTATTAAAATGATTTAAAATTGTTTCTTAATAAGAATCATATGACATCTTTGATGTTAATTAGCGATCCTCTGGATATTTGCAATACCAGTTTTGACAATTAACTAATATTGAAGCATATAGCTGTAAAAATTATTGAGTCATTTATAAGTCTCCAGATAAATTGTTTAGTATTAGAAAATACTTCTAAAATGATGCTACAGAAATATTAGACATATGGTTGATTTATGGTTTTTACTAACAAGTAAATGATACAAGGAAAAACAGTGGTTTCTGCAAAATGACAAAGTCAGATGAGATTGTCTGTACTCTGTCTCTTTTTTCATTTACATTCATTTAGGTTCAGTAAACATTTATTAAGGGCTGACATTTTGCTTGACTTTGTGCTAGGCTCTAGAGAAACCAAAATGAATAAGACACAGTGCTTGACCTTATGGTGTCCACTATCTCTAGTCTATTGGAAATCATTTAATGGTGGTGACTATAATAGAACTGGAGTAGCAACCTCAATAAACTGAATCTGCCTGGAGGATTTGGGGAAAAACATCAAACAGTAGGCACAAAGTTTTTAGTGGAACATTTTATCTGTTAGTCTTTAAAATTTTTTATTATGAAAACTTTCAAACATATGTATAAGTGGTAAGAGTTGTATAATTACTGTCCATATTCTGAACATCTAACTTCAGTAGTAATCAATACTTAGGATCTAATTTCGTCCATTTCATCTACTCATTTTACTGCCACAGATTATTTTGAGGCAAATAGCAGGAGTTATATAATTGAAACCCTAAAAATTTCAGTATATGAAAGAGAAAGCATCCTAAAATTGTGTATATATGTATATATATGTATGTGCTTATGTATATACACAAATGAATATATACACAACATAATTATACTACTGAAGTGTTAACATCAGCTTTTATACATCATGACATCATTGGTGCAGTCATGTGTACACACACACACATATCTATGTATATTTTTCTTTTCCTATGTATTTGTATACATGCATAAGCACAATTTCATCATTATGCCTATAATAATTGGTGTATATATATGTGTATATATACTGTTCCAGTTTCCCTGATTATCTCCCAGATTATTTTTCAATTTATACTCTTCTACCAGGAAGAGATTTAAGGTAGAGGAATCAGTGAGAGCTTAACAGTAATTCAGAAACTGTAAAGACCAAAATAATAAGGCACTTGTTGACTTGACATAGAATTGATTAGTTGTATATGTGTGTGTGTTTGGAGACTGACGTGAGAAAACATTGCTACGCTTTGTGTCAGAGAATGTTTTGCGTATGTTCTCTTCTGGGATTGTTTTGCTAAGTTTCTGTGAAGAGATGGTAAATGAGTTAATTTTTTTCCTTAAGTTTTAATTTGAACAAAGAAAAGAATTAATGTAGTTATTTATTTTTTCCTCAGTGAACAGCTGTTATTAAATCAGTGGTGTATCTTGAAATCTTGCTTTAAAACTTGAGGAAAGCAAATAGTTGCCATGCAGTTCATGTTCTAAAACTCCTAGGATAGTTCATTAGGCTTTCTCTCACAATAGTAACCAGAGTAATTTTTGATGCAATTTTAAAAGTTTTGATTGTGATATAGTTTTAACAGTTGGTATGGCACTGTGAAGTTCTAGAGGCAAGTATACTAAAAAATACTACCTGACAGCCTTATCAGGAAAGTGGACTAAGAAATAAAAGTTTATGAAGTTTATCACACACACAATCAAATCTGCTTGAGGCTGTTTAGGTAGGGTAAAAATCAGTATCTCTGTATAGCTATTTTAATGAGGCACTTCTATGAGTGGCTCCAGTAGCGGTCTGTTATTACTGTTATTCCTTATGATTATTCTTGCCCTTAAAGGCATGACTTTTATTTCAGCTTTGTTTAAATAATTAATATTTATGATGACAGTTCTGAATTACTAAGAATTCAGTGTTTCATAAGACTCCAAATCATGTCTTTTTTTAAGAAAGTTATTCTTCAGAAATGATGAGAGGGAGGGAGAGAGGGGAATGAAAGTGAGAATACTTAGTAGGTGTTTAACAGGGAAAGTTTCACTCCCACCACTTACTCCCATTATTAGATAATACCACTGCTATGCCATTTTTCTGGCATCCTTCCAGTGTTATATATGTATGTATATATGTATACTTACATATGTATGCATATATATGTGTATACGTAAACTCATATGTGTGTTATCAAATGACATCATACTATCCATGTTTTGTAAATTGCTTTATTTCACAACATATCTTGGACATCTTAGAGAAGTGTTTTAGAAATAAATACATGGTATTGAATATTAGGGATCTGTTTGCTTATATTTTAAATACATTTTTATCTTTATCCTTAAAATTCTTGTGTTTATTCTTATTTGAAAAGCAATATAAAAAGTTTGTAATAAAATGAATTAGCATGTATGCATTCTGTGAAACATATGTGGTATATTAGATATTAGTATTTTTCCTAACTGATATGAAAGGCGTTTTCTGCTATTGAAATATATTTTAAGTAGATATTCATTAAAATAGGATAAAACTATACAACTAATTAGTACTTGTCTGGTAACAGGATATTGATAATGGTAAGTCAGTGTGTCTCCTTTTAAAATATAATGGTGAGAAGAGTGAGTTCACAATTTAAATTCTTTCTGCATTTAAAATCATGAATGCTAATCATCCGAGAGGTCTAATTAGGCTATTTTTTTAGAGTTTTTAGTGTCAAGGGTAAAGATTGTTGAAAATCAAAGGTAAAACTTTTTGCATAAAAGGATGAACTTTATTTATACTTCAGTTCTTGTACCATTCTTCGTCACTTGTTTTCTTAAGCTTGGCTCTGTGTTTAAGTACAGCAGTCCTAAAACATCTTTGCTAGATTAATGCACATTTTGTGAGAATATGAATGCTCTGATTGAAACTCCATTCATCTGAGGCATTTTTTTTCAGTTTTAGCTTTTGTTTAAAGAGAGTTTTAGCATTAGTATGTAGATATAAAATACAACTTTTTCAAAGTACTTTAAAATATTTTTTTTTTTCCCCACCCCTATAAGATTGTTTTGAAAGAGCAGGTAGAGTAGTACCTGGAAGTCAGAGATCTGAATTCTTGTCTTCTTCTACAATAATTAGCTGTATGTGACCACAGTCTGTTCATTTATCCTCTCTGGCCCTTATTTTCTTATCTGAGAAGTGAAGATATACGTGATTACATGATTTCTAAGGTCCTTTGCAATTCTAAAATGCCAAGTTTCTTTGAAGTAGTTTTTGTGGTAGTTGTATAGTTTATGTTAAGGTTTAATGAAGGTATATTTTATATAATATGTGTGTATGTTTCATGTGTATATTCATATGTTTCAGTCTTCATTGAGTTGTCTAAAGCTTTGTTGAATGTTTTTTGTCTTCTATGCTTGATGTCTGAAAAATCTTAACTGATTAAGACAGTTATGAACCTTGCCATCATGCAGTAGTTTTCAGTGGAGAAAAGTAAAATTAAACAACTATTATGTAATTAATTATTTTATCCAGATGTGATGTGTACTGAGAAGATTGAGTAGCAGAATAAGAAAAATAGCAGGAAGAATGAGCACAGGGGTACTAGGAGAGTAGATCATCCCTGCCTGAGGATCCTGGAATGCTAAGGAATTATGGGAAGGCAGAATTTCATAGTGAGTCCCACAAAATATGGCTGTTGGTCTGGGGTGGGGGTATCAGATCATAAAATGTTTTGAGACCACTTAAAGATTTTGGTTTTCATGCTAATATTGCATGTATTACTTCCAGTTATGTCCTTGGTGTTACACGATCCAATAGATGCTAGTAATACCCATGAAATACATTTCATATGTTAGAGAAATCTTTTCTGTCAGTCACTGTGCTATCAGTGACATCAGGTTCCTGACTTTTCCCTATGCCCTTTCACTCTTTAGCAGTGTTTTAAGGTGTAATAACCTAACAATATTTGCAAGTTCTGTATAGTAAAAATTACTTTAATGCTTGGTAAAGTCAGATAAATTTTTCTTTTTGGATTATCAGTTGCTTCATATTTTCTCTGCCTTTTTCCTGCTCAGTCATGAGAATTTTTAATGTATTATCCATTAAAATTAGCAAATTAGTACACTAGTTTTGTGATTTACATTTTTTGATATCTATTGATTTACTTCCTATTTCACCACTGATTGTGTTCATCATTAGGAAATATTAGTATGTAAAAACCATGTTTGTTTATATGCAAGTAAGTTGCCTGATTTTTTTTTTTTAATTGTTCATTTTTAAAGAACACTTATGTTAAAAAGATGTGTCCTGATTTCATTATCTCGGAGACTCATTTGTGGTAGAAATATTCCTTTTGGCTAAACTAAAAATTGTTTAATGACGAGGACTTAGTCTTTCTTTCTTTTTTTTCTTTTTAACTCAGTCTTTCTAAGGCACTGTAACAAAAGGGAAATGACCCCTTTGTGATACCTGAGTATTCTGAGTTGGTTCAAAGATTTCATTTCATGTGTTTTCACTTTTATAACATTGATGCAAAGATAGCAATTAAAACCTTATCATTTTTAGTAGCAGGGTTATGCTTCTCAGGCTGATTTCCTATTTCTGTTTTCAGTAGACTGAGATAGGGGCCCACTCTGATATATCAGAATACTGTAGTCTCACTACTGAACCGTGTATTTCCCGTTCTTGTTTGATTGGCTTCAGTATGCTCTTCTCAGAAATTTAGAACAATTTATATTAAATCTCATTTTCAACTTAGTCTAATGAATGTTTATGCAAACTAAAACAACCTATTGTATATTTATCTTTCTTATCCTCTGTGTATTTGAATTAATTTGAGAGCCATTATGATTAATAAATTCATTAAATATGAATCCTAGGCCACTTATTTTTCTCTTTGTGAAGTTCAGTATTTCAGTTTTTACCAGTGCTGATTAATTTATTTAGAACATATTTATTGAACATTGATTATGAACAGCAGCCTCCATCAGTCACTTGTATAAGATAGCCACATGGATAAGACATTCTTCGTCTCAAGGATCTGACAGAGTTTTAAGGGCAGTAAAATATTAAGAAAGTTTATAAATAACACAAAATATAAAAAATATTAAAATGATGTATAGGAGAGTTTAGAAGAAGGAAGAATTATTTTTCCTTCTCCCTTCTTTGGGGTACAATCTAAGGTAAACCTCACAGGGAAGAAACATTTACAGCCTAGATTTTCAAACATAGGTAGGATCAGATATGTGCAGAAGAGAAAAATGCTATTTATTTATTAGTGGGGGCTAAGAATATTCCAAAAATGTATGTGGAAAAGCACTAGATATTTAAAAGAATATGATTTCTGTAGTATTGAATGGAAGTATATGGAGATAAAACAGGCAAATTCCGTTGGGATGAGATCAGTGAGCCCCTTCAGTACTTCAGGGCTTCCCAGGTGGCTCAGCAGTAAAGAATCTGTCTGCAATTCAGGAGACATGGGTTTGAACCCCAGAGTATCTCCTGGAAGAGGGAATGGCAACCCACTCCAGTATTCTTGCCTGGAGAATCCCATGGACAGAAGAGATTGGTGTGTTACAGTCCAAGGGTCGTAAAGAGTCTGACACGACTGAAACGACTGAACACATGACACACACGTTTATAATATAAATATATATAAATAAAAAATTGGGGAGGGATAAATTGGGAGATTGGGATGGACATATCCACATTACTGTATGTAAAATAGACAACTATAAGGGCCTGCTGTATAGCACAGCACTCTATATAGCACTCAGCACTCTGTAATGTGATAGATGGCAAAATAGTCCAAAAAGAGGGAATATATGTATATGTATAACAGATTCACCTCACTAAAAAATCTCTATGTGACTTAATTAGTGCTTTCCTGGTCCATTAAGAGAGGCATTGTACTTGTCTATGCCTACATTACTGATACCCATTTTTGTAGGAGATGGTATTCTAAATCTTAGAGTCAGAAAACATTAAGTAAGTTTAGGGAAGCCTGTTTTCCATTTTACAGAAATGATTTCCTTTTTTACATAGTAATAAAAATCAAAATCTATGTGGCTTTCAGAATTATGGTATATTGATGGTTTTAAATTGTTTTATTCTATATAGGACACCATTGCAGTGGCTGGATTTGTTGTTTTGTCAGCATCTTCATCTCCAAGCAGAGATGGTAAACATTGCTTATTTTTGAAAGCATCTGAGAACTTCAAATCAACTGTTTATGTAAGTGTGCAACTTTTTTAGTCTAATCATTTTATGATTTTAATGAGCTAAAGTAATGGAATAGAAGTAGTATTTCTGTATATCTGCAGATAAACTATTTTGAATGACTGAATTATTGTAATTAAATATTTTAAGTTTAGAAAATAGGAATCCTTTTCTTAGCTGTTTAGAATGAAATCATTCTAAACATAATATCCCTTAAAGATAAGTAATTTGTTAATGAATTTCTTAAAACTTCACAGGCACTTTAAACCTGATCCTATTCTTTGCAATTGTACTGTCATCCTCTTTTGATGGTCTGCTTGAATTTACCTTAAATTAATCAGATTCCCCTTTTTAGATAAAACTGATTTCCTCCTGTTGTTGTTGAGTTGCTAAGTCTTGTCCAACTCTTGGTGACCCTATGGACTGCAGCACTCCAGTCTCCTCCTTTCTCTAGTATCTCCCAGAGTTTGCTCAGATTCATGTCCACTGAGTCATTGATACTATCTAATCATCTCATTCTGTATGCCCCCTTCTTTTGCCTTCAGTCTTTCCCGGAATCAAGATCTTTTCCAATGAGTTGGCTCTTCATATCAGGTGATCATAGCTTCAGTATCAGTTCTTCTAATGAATATTCAGGGTTGATTTCCTTTAGGATTACCTGGTTTGATGTCCTTGCTGTCCAAGGGATTCTGGACAGTCTTCTCCAGCACCACAGTTCAAAACCATCAATTCTTTGGTGATCAACCTTCTTTATGGTCCAATTCTCGCATCCATATATGACTGCTGGTAAAACCATAGCTTTGACTAAACAGACCTCTGTTGGCAAAGTGATGTCTCTGCTTTTTAATACACTATCTAGGTTTGTCATAGCTTTCCTTCCAAGGAGCAAACATCTTTTAATTTCATGGCTACAATCACCATCTGCAGTGATTTTGGAGCCCAAGAAAATAAGATCTGTCACTGCTTCCACTTTTTCCCCTTCTGTTAGATTGGTTCAAAAGTAATTGCAGTTTTGGACTGTGAATTTTAAATCATTATAACTAGACTCCAACACATCTTTATTAATCAAAATAGGAATCATTATAATCAATGTATTTTTGCCAATAAGAAATGTCTCTCTATTCCTGTAGCATAAAAATCTGTGCTTCAGGATTCGATGAACTCTTGGAAAGCATTTTCTGCCTCCTGCTCATTGTGGAAGCGTTTTCCTGCAAAAAGTTGTTGAGATGCTTGAAGAAGTGGTAGTCAGTTGGATAAGGCAGATGAGGCAAAGCTTCACAGCCCAGTTTGTTCAACTTTTGAAGTGTTGGTGTAGTCAGGTATTATGAAGAAGAATTTGACCCTTTCTGTTGAACAGTGCTGGCTTCAGGCTTTGCAGTTTTCATGCATCTCATGGATTGGCTGAGCATACTTCTCAGTTGTAATGGTTTTGCTGGGATTCAGAAAGCTGTAGTGGATCAGACCAGCAGCAGACCACCAGTGACCACGACCTTTTTTTGGTCCAAGTTTGGCTTTGGTAAGTGCTTTGGAGTTTCTTGGTCCAATCACTGAGCTGGTCATCACTGGTTCTCATAAAAAATCCACTTTTCATTACACGTTACAATCCAATTAAAACATGGTTCATTGTTATTGTGTTGAATAAGAGAAAATGACACTTCAAAACAATTATCTTTTTTATTTTCATTCAGCTCATGAGACACCCCTTATCAATCTTTTTCACCTTTCTGATTTGCTTCAAATGCCAAATGACTGTAGCATGAACAACATTAAGTTCTTCAACAGCTTCTTGTATAATTGTAAGAGGATCAGCTTCGATGATTGCCTTCAGTTGTCAACTTCTGAACACTAGCCTCTAAGCTCCTCCTCCTCAAGGCTCTCATCTCCTTTGCAAAACTTCTTGAACCACTGCTAACATATTGCACTGTATGTTAGCAGTTAGCAGTTCCTAGGCCAAATGTGGTGTTGATGTTGAAAGTTGTCTTCTCTGCTTTGTGACCCATTTTGAACTCAAATAAACAAGTTGCTTGAATTTTGCATTTTGTCTAACATTATTTCTATATTCTAAAATAAATATAAAATAAACACTAAATAATAAATCATTAGGAAAACCACAGTTAAAAATGCACATTAAAATGATGTATGATATAACCACATTTATTTAATAATGTATTCCAGTATCAAACAGCAAAATTCAGCAATACAAAACTGCAATTACTTTTGCACCAACCTAATATTTGCCATAAAGTGATGAGACCAGATGCCATGATCTTAGTTTTTTGAATTTTGAGTTTCAAGCTAACTTTTTCACTCTCCTCTTTCATCCTTACATAGCGGCTCTTTAGTTTCTCTTTGCTTTCTGCCGCTAGAGTGATATCATCTGCATATCTGAGATTGTTGATATTTCTCCTGGTTGATATTTCCTCCTGTTTGATTGCTTATGATCATCCTCTGCCTCTCTCTTTACGCCCCCATACACATACACGAAAGTGTGCATCCTCTTCCTCTCTCTTCATCCCCACCCCTATCAACACACACAGATACACATACACACACAGTTGGAAACTACCTGTTTGGTCAAGGCTGTCAGGTAGAGAAGCAAAATTGGGTCAAGCCATGTGCCTGCAGACCAACATCTACCTGTTTTGTTGTGTTCTGCTTGTCTGAGCAGGGCATTATATGAACCAGTGTGGTCCTATGATATTAAAATTAATGAAATAAACTGAAGCTTAGCTTAGACAGTTTTGTCACTGTCACTGTTTATTTGTAAGCTATTATGCCATTCTAGTGAACTTTAATATTATAAAATTAAGATTGTAGGTTTAATACAGTTAAAATGTTTGTAATCACATAGCACATGATTGTATACAAATAAATCCTCTCTTTTTTTCAGGTTTATGTTAAACCGGTAGGAGATTGTTCTACAGAATCAATGTCTTTGGTAAGATGATGTTCATTTTAATTTAGAAATGTACACCCTCCCACACACACATACCTATATTTCCATACAAATATGTATTCAGGCAACTTTATAGCTAGCTATAAACTTTGAAATTGTATCAGTACAGTGGGAAAACATAATCTCTACTCTTTCAATACATGATGATATTACATTTGAGTTATATGTTTGCATAATAATTAATATCTGGTTTGTCTGTTACATGGAATATTTGCTTATATTTTGTGAAAGTTATGTGCACAAGAAAATTAAAGTGGAAAAAAAGTTTTATTGTGTGAAGACACTAGGATTTTTGCTACTTCTAAATCTTAAGCAATCATTTATTTTGCTTTTCATCAGCTTATGTTTAAAACTGATTATTGTGCACTAAACTGTGATTTGATAAATTATGTAATTTTCAGTAAAGAAGTTTTTTATACTTGTGATACATTTTGCTTTTCTTTTTAAAATCATTTTTTCAGTATTTTTAAAAATATTGTTATCTCATAGCAATGAAAAGGTCCCCATTTTTTCAAGTAAACTACTTATAGCTGAGTGAAACTAGAAAGAAGGTAATATGTTGATAAAGTTTAATGTAAAGTTTATGTTCTACTTATGTTCTTAAACCTTTACTTTCTATTGGACAGAGTTCATCAACTTTGTTTCTAGTTGACAGTAACTTCAGGGTATAGGCTTTAAATTCTGAATACTACCATAACAGTATAATTTAAATTTGTTATTTAGGGAAACTATAACCAATAAGAGGATTGATATACTTTGAAGAAAATATCAGTTAACTCTGATATTAGTATTTTTCAAAATTGTTATAAATAGGTCAAGTTCAAATATTTGATTCATCCATGCACCTGTAAATAAGGCAGAAGTAAATGAAAGCCTCTGTACTTAGCAAAAATGTTTTTTCAGGAAGCTCAGGCATTAGTTTATAACTGAAATATTAGCATATAACTTATCTGCTATACACACATATACATGTTTTACTTACATTGAAAACCAAATTACTGTCAAGAAGTTTATTGCTAGTTGTGAATTAATAAATATATTATTTGGAAGACCATAATGGTTAGGGTCTTGGAGCTGTGCTGGCCTTTGCTTCATCTCTACATTAGGGAGATATTTGTTGATAGTTTATTGGATCCAGTTAGTTTGGGAGCTGAGCTCCTCTCAGGTCTTCCTGTCCTATATGCTGACCATTATTTTTCTTTCTTTCTTTCTTTTTTTATATCATGGTTTGATGAGATTTCTAAGCAAGCTCTGTCCTTCTTGTGTTTGACCTGAGCCTCCTTGAAAAAAACCAATTCATTTTGATTTAATTTTTAAAACTTTAACTGTTAGTGTGATCAGTAACCTTATTTCAGTTGGGAGTGACATTGGTGGGTGACAGAGCCAGGTGACTGAGTCCTTTTCAGGATTGTTTGACTAATAGTGTTTGTAATTTCCTTGGTTCTGTCTTGCCATAGCAAAAATTTGAAGTGATGGGCGGACCAGTGTTATTACAGCTCGGTGTTACTGCTTGGTTACAGCTCAGTTTTATTTGGCAAACAAAGGAAAATACATCCTCGAGGTGTGAGGGAGGGCCAACCCAAAAGAAGCGCAGAGAAGAGAGAGAGAGTCTCAATTTTGGCTCCTCTTTTTATATGTTTTTCTTTTCTCCTCCCCCGAGCCTGCCCTGTGTAAATTGGGCTAGCCAGGAGGGCTTTTTATTTCACCTGAGGTTCTCACTCCACTGCTCGGACCTTCCTCTGTTCTATTTTTGTGGGCTTTTTCCTTTCTTTGTCTGTTAGCCACCACCATTCTGGACTCCTTTTTCCTATTCTAACCATCTAACATTCCTCCCTCAAGAGACTCGAGATGGGAGGCCCAATTCTTTGGGAATAGGGGCGTCGAGGTCTCTCAGGCTACTTCCTGCTGAACTGGGATGGGGAGAGGCATTGGGCCTCCCCCTCTTGCTAGTCTCAAGCCTCAGAGTCCTTATAGCAGTGTCCATCTAAGGGTGAGTGATATTTTCCATAGTTGGCTGTAGCTTTGTATATCCTTGTTGAACTGGCACTGCATGTTGTAGCTTGTTGACCTGGGCAGAGACAAAACAGGTTAGACAATTGATACTACATGGAGCAATCATAGGCAGCACCAATATGGTGATAACAAAGATTAGTAGGGGTATTCAGTTCAGTTCAGTCACTCAGTTGTATCCGACTCTCTGTGACCCCATGAATTGCAGCACGCCAGGCCNTTTTGGGACACAGCCCCTGCCAAGCTGTGTTTGCTCTTTAGAACAATCCTTAGACATCTTATCCCCAGAAACTTAATTTTGGGGGTATTCATTGGAATGGCACTCATTTGTGGTCTTGAATAGGTATCTGAGAGCTCCCAGGGGCTCACGGGTGTATTGAGTGTCCTCTTCTGTTTTTTCCCACAGCTTGACTCATGAGTAGTGAATCCAGGAGTCATGTCCGGGTACTTTGACTGCTGCGGGGGTAGAAAATATTACAGGGTAGGGGCCCTTCCATGTGGGCTGGAGTTGAGCCTTTGGGACCCATCTTTTCAGAATTTAATTAGGACTTGAGTCTCTGGAGCATATAATGGTGGCTGTTTAGAATCTTTTAGGCCTTAGTTGACATCCCACAAGTGTATATCTTGTTGGAAGTGCACAACGGCCATGGTATAAGACTGGAGGGACTGAGCCTGTGAATCTAGGAAGAGGTCACTGACATAAACAAAAGATCCCCCATAGAGCATCTCATAAGGACTAAGACCAACCTGTTCCTTAGGGGCAGTACGGGTGGGGAGGAGAGCTATTCGTAAAGCCTCCTTCCAGCCCAGGGAGGTCTCCTGGGTTATCGTTTTATTGCTGATTTTAAGAAATGGTTTACCTAATACCTGTAAATCACTTCCCCTTTTATTTCCAAACTTATGTACAGTTATTTCATATATTTTCTTCTTTTATTACCATTTTTAAAGTCTTTATATCATTTATAATCAAATCTGCCTTTACATAGGCCTTAGTAAAATCTTCATAGCAGTATAAGAAAAACAAATATATGCCATAAGTTTTGAAGTGATTCTAGTTAAAGTTAAAAGCTAAAACTAAAATCTCTTAAACTGCTTTTTTTTAAGTTGTATACAGATTGCAACATTAATAATCAAAGCTATTTATAAGAAAAAGTAGTATATACTGTAACCTTTATAAGCTGTACATTTCCCTTTTTTTTAGACATCTCTTTTTTAGACACAAAGAAATAGATGCAGATCAGTTTACTAACTTACAGATTGATCATAACATGATTCTAAAATCTAAAAATAAATACTTAATAATATTGATATATTCACTGTCTTTCTTTAGGCTCCAGCCACACATTATGTATATACACCCCTGAATCAACTTAAAGGTGGCATGATTGTGAACGTCTATGGTGTCGTGAAGTTCTTTAAACCTCCGTACCTAAGCAGAGGAACTGGTAGGTATTAAAATGGGTGAAGATTTTAATGAACTGGATCTGTTTTATTGGTTTCAACACAGCTCCTTTGGTACTCTTAAGTCTTACAAGCTCAATTCTGATTTGTCATTGTCAAACAATATTGATGCAGATTTTTTTGGCCAGTTTTAGTTATAAAATAAGTGTCGTCTTTAGGTTCTAAAGAATAAAAAAATTAAAAGGATGCTAAACAGTAACGTGACAGCATATGCAAGTATATACGAAAGTATAGAATAAGAAAAGGTAAATAAATAGCCAATTACAGAATACTGTAATACTGTAATGATGATTTGTAAATCATTTTAATTCTGGTACAGAAGTTAAATAACAAATGTATAAAAAAGAACCACCTGTAAATACATGTTAGTGGGTACACAATATAAAAGGATAACATTGTAATGTTGTAACATCAGTGACATGGAGTATGTGTTGGGGAGAGTAAAAGTGTAGCATTTTTGTGTGTGATAGTTTATTTTTTATCAGCTTGAGACAGTTTTAACTGTAAAATGTCTTATGTAAATTTTCTGTTAACCAAAAAGAAAATACCTATGGATGATACTCAAAAGAAAATGGGAAAGGAATCAGACTTTATGTAATGACCAAAAAAAAAAAAATCAATGAAATACAAAGGAAGATCATAAGAGGAAACAGAGCAAAAGAGCTACAAGTCAGAAAAGAATTAGCAAAATGGCAAGAGTAAGTTCTTCTTTAAATGTAAAAAGGTTAAACACCCTATTCAGAAGACTTGGGTTGCTTTAAAGCTAATTGAGAAGATATAATCTATTCTCAGCAGTGGCCACAGGACTGGGAAAGGTCAGTTTTCATTCCAATCCCAAAGAAAGGCAATGCCAAAGAATGCTCAAACTACCGCACAATTGCACTCATCTCACACGCTAGTAAAGTAATGCTCAAAATTTTCCAAGCCAGGATTCAGCAATACATGAACAGTGAACTTCCAGATGTTCAAGCTGGATTTAGAAAAGGCATAGCAACCAGAGATCAAATTGCCAACATCTGCTGGATCATTGAAAAAGCAAGAGTTCTAGAAAAATATCTATTTCTGCTTTATTGACTATGCCAAAGCCTTTGACTTTGTNGAAAAGACCCTGATGCTGGGAAAGATTGAAGGCAGAAGGAGAAGGGGACGGCAGAGGATGAGATGGTTGGAGGGCATCACCGACTCGATGGACATGGGTTTGGATGGACTCCGGGAGTTGGTTATGGAGGCCTGGAGTGCTGCGGTTCACGGGGCCGCAAAGAGTTGGAGACGACTGAGCAACTGAACTGAACCTATTTTTGTAAAAGTGCAAACTTTTAAACAGACTAACGTAAAATAATGTGTTCAAAAAGTGTGAATTTCAGTTTTCTGAGAGTTAATGTAGTTAACATTAGTTAATGTTAATGTAGTTAATGTAGTGCATTTCAGACAATGCACTTTATCTTGGTTTAATTCAGTTCAGAATTAAATTTCACATTTATTACTCTGTTGCGACTGAACTGAACTCTGTTGAGTCTAATTTTAAAGGACAACAGTTTTTAAAACATATCATTGTTTTATGTATTATTAGGAAAAGCTATACTTTACTGTCAGTTGTAAGATGTAGCCATATTTTAAGATGTAAAAATATGAAATGGGTGGTGTTAATGAAACATTTTTCTTTATCTACTGTGTGTCTGCCAACTGCTGTGGCTCATGCTGAGAACACTAAGATGTTCTCAGTGAGTTAATATTCTTTAAAGATTTAATTTATTGTTGTTCAGTCACTAAGTCTTATCTGATGCTTTTGTGACTCCGTGGACTGTAGCCTGCCAGGCTCCTCTATTTATGGAATTTCCTAGGCTCGAATACTGGAGTGGGTTTCCATTTCCTTCTCTAGGGGACCTTCGTGACCCAAGGATCGAAGCCATGTCTCCAGCATTGTAGACAGATTCTTTACTGAGCCACCTGGGAAGCCCTCATTAAATTACATGTGTAAATTTTATTGTGAAATGACCTCTAAGTTTACTCCTCGCTTTGTTGGATGGAGGAAAATTTTATTTTCATGTGGTCCTTATATTTTGTTAATGTGTTGTCACAACTTAGTTTATGTGAAAATGACTATGTGAAGCCTATTAAATCTAGAGATAAGAAGTTTGAAATACAAGGTAGCTAAGTTTGAAGAGCCCAAAGGGATGTTTTGTTGAAAACCCTGACTTCTGTTATTTTAGCAGGAGGGGAAAAAGTTTAACACTAACGTTGAAGCAGAGAAATTTTTGTTTGAATTTCTCAAATATTTTTATTCAACTTTACCTTTTTGCAAAGTCTACATTCCATACCCCATCTTACCATTCAAAATACACATGCAGACTTTCACTTTAGTAGGATCTTCTCACTGAATTTTTCCCCCTGAATTTTACATTGCTCATCCTGAGAATTCTGTTACTGTGATCTTCTTCCGATGGTGAGTGTTATCCCACTGGCTTTCGTTGACCTGACCAATTTAAGAATAAGCGCTGGTAGTAATGTTCTGTAACTTGGTAGAAGATATAATTTGAAAACTTTTTTGCACTTGGTGTGTTGCAAATGATTATCATTAAAAGTTTATAGTAAATTAATCAGCAAATATGTTAAAAAATAACATGAAATGAAATTAGGAAATAAAAATATAGCTGTTTTTAAAACAGCTATGACGACTCAACATTAATTTTGTATAGCATAGTCATTTTCTTCTGACAGTGTTATTAATTCATGTGTATATAATGAAAGCACTGGGAAACTGTATAATGTTTATTATATAGTCTATGCATCTTATGTGTCTCTCAGATATCCAGTCCCTATATTTCTGTTTCTTCTGAGATACTAAGTTAAAATGAACGTCATCAATTTTTTCTGAATGTATTCACTGAAGCTCTAAAATATGTCTGAAGATATAGGGAGATATCTTTACTAATAGCAAGATAGTAGCATTTGCAAACTATCTGTCTTTTCATTTTAGTTACACTTAATTTTTATTTCTGTTTGATAGAGTTTATCCTTCAACATGCTGCAGGAGAGTCAGACAGAAAGCTCTGATTTTTGTGTTCAGGAAAGGATCAACTTCATTAGTATTACAACTGAGAAGGATTAGAATAAATGTACTGGAATAACCCACAGCTGTGCCTCTTTTGTATGATATAAAGCAACGTTATTTCACAAATACATGGCCACAACCTAAATATTACATCTTAATGTACAAAATAGTTATGTGGAGGAAAGTTACCTTTCCTTTCTTTATTCTCTTACATATCATCAGCTAGAGTTTTCCATTAAAATTCATTTTATAAATGTGCAGTGCAGTGCCGTGGAGACAGCTTGGTGCAGTTTTGCATCCTTACTGCTTGGCTGAGATTCTTCTTGAAGACGGTCCTCCTCTGTGATAATGAGCACACATGACCTGTAGCGCATTTTTGCCATCTTGTTTTAAAGCATCGCACATGCTTAGTTTCCTAAGCTTTGTATTGAGTCTCAGGGCAGCTGCAGCTTTTATTCTTCCGGAAGTCTTTTTTTTTTTTTTCTTCTTTCTTCAGTCCTGTTTTAAAAGGACTATAGTTACTCAGTCTCTTACTAATTTGTGATGATGTCATGAAAACCGAGAATTTCTCAGGGATAATAAGAACATTTATTAAAAGATCATTGTATCATCCAAATTGATTTATCACTCATTGGGGTACATAATATGGCCTCTTTCATGTAGAAAGACAAGGTTATTGTCACCTTCTTGGGATTTTGAGATTTATATCCGTTACCTCCTGTGAAAGCCTTCCAGTTACTTTCACTTTGCAGAGCTGGATATAGAGAGCTAGGTATTCAGTGTTTCATCTTGTACAGATAACATTGGGCATATTTTCTAGAAAAAAACATATGCATGTGTAAAGACTTAAACATATAATATCAAAGGTTCATTCCCTGCTTCCTTTGAGCTTCAGATTGGAAACTCCTGATCTGTGATATGTTTAGAGTCACTTATCTGAATATTTAATTAATATCAAAGCTACAGCATATGTATTGGTTTAATGTATGGCATTTAAAACAAAATAAATATATAGTTTTTTTTCAGTTCACTCGTTTGCATTTATGCAACAAACATTGACAACTTTCTGTGTTCCAGGTGTTATATTAGACGTGAAACATTCAAAGATGTATGTAATTGTTTTCCACCCTCAAGAAATTAAAATTTTTACTTTAGACAGATAATCATTACAGTAATTATAATTGTTCATGATTTCACTTTGGTTTTAGTTTTCCCCAATTTGTAAAATTCTAGTTGTCCATTTTATTGTTGAAAATGAACAGAATCATCATTGTGAAGCATACTAAACTTTTTGAATATGTATTTTAAAGCTGAATGATGGATTTACCTTTTATATGAGATGAAGGTTGTGGGCAGGCATGGAGTTTTCCATTTCTCTCGAGCTAAAGCATATGTCTAGTTGAGTGACTTGAGACTCTTCTCAAGGGCTTGGCTGTCTTACTTGCATGAGGGGAGGGCAGCCAGAGCGCGGCTAGTCATCACTTATTCCTTTAAGGATTTGGAAAGGAAAGCTAAGCCTCTCTTCACTATTTTCAGGCTATTCTGTCCATGCCAGTAGGAAATACTTGGGTTTCCACTTGGAGAGTGAAGGTGAAGAAAGCTCTTTCTTATTCTGTCACTGAACCTTTGTATGGCTTGCTTTCTTGTATTCAAGATGACTTCTTTGAGGAGGTTTGTGGCATCCCCTCTTCCTTATCCATATCCTAGGAATATGTCTCTCAGAATGTTTTCCTCTAAAAAATTATTAGCCTACTTACTATGTTTCTTGAGTTTATAGTTTTAATTATTTCATTGAATAATAATATGAGTGTTTTCTCATTCTTTCATGAAACTTGTGATACATTCTTTTATTCATTCAATTGGAAAATGTCTTTGCTAGCCTTGTGTAGCATTATATTATAGTTAGTTGTTGTCTAAAGACAGAGACTAATA